TGGGACGGTGTAGGTCAGTGTGTACAGGGGTGATGGGTGAATGGGACAGTGTAGGTCAGTGTGTACAGGTGTGAAAAATGGGACTAGATTAATGTAGAATATCTAGTCGGCATGAGTGAGTTGGACCAAAAGGTCTGTTTTTGTGCTGTACATCTTTATGACTCTAAGTCTTCTTAGAATCCTATGTTTCAGTATGGTTTTTCTAAATTCCAATGAGTAGGCCCAACCTACTCATCCTCTCCTCATAAGACAGTCCCTCCATAACTGGAATCAGCCAAGCGAGCCTTTCTCTGGACTGCCTCCAATGCCAATATATCTTTCCTTAGATTAATAATAAATTAGGGGAAGTGACAGACTAGTGGAATCATCGCTGGACTGTTAATCCAGAGAGTCTGGTTTGAATCCAGCCACATCAGATGGTGGAATTTGAATTCAATAAAAATCTGGAATTAAGAATCTAATGATGACCACGAATCCACTGTCGATTGTCAAGAAAAACCCATCTGGTTCAGTCATGTCCTTTAGGGAAGGAAACTGCCATCCCTACCTGGTCTGGCCTACATGCGACTCCAGACCCACAGCAATGTGGTTGTCTCTTAATGCCCTCTGGGCAATTAGGGATGGGCAATAAATGCTGCCTAGCCAGCGACATCTAGTGAATGAATAAAGAGAGATAAAAAAGGTGCAGACAAGCAGGGAATTTTTGGTGGTCATGTACACAAATCCATTTAGATAATAAGTTACCTTTCTATTCCTGCAACTAAAATGTATAACCTCATACTTATCCACATTAAACTTTATCTGCCAAATTTTGGCCCATACACTGAACCTATCCATATCCATTTCTTATTTCTTCATTACAACTTACTTTCTCACCTATTTTTGTGTCACCTGCAAATTTGGCTATAATACATTATATCGTCAGTAATCTCTATTCGCAATGCAAGGTGTCTTGGTTTCTGTTTCACTGACTGGTCTAGATCTGAATTGACACTAAAGGCCTTAGAAAGGGTACAGATGATGTTTACCAGGATACTACTAGGATTCTTCAATTACGAGGAGAGATTGGAAAAGTTAGGACTGTTCTCCTTAGAAATTTCTTTCCTTAGAGATCTGTTGGGATCTGGACATTTCAGTCTGAAAAAGTGGAGGTTGAAGGTGAGAGCATTGATGCATTAAAAGAATGTTTGGCGAGCTCCTGAGGGAGAAGGTGACAGAGGGACATGTTGCCAAACTAGGAGCGGGAATTGTAGTCAGGGAGAGTATCCTGGCTGGGCTGAAGAAGCTGGGCAGGATGGTATAATTGTGTGCTGTAGGTTCAATGTAATTCCATCTCTTTTGTCTCATTCTGCAACCACGTTGTGTTTAAAATATCAACCATGTCTCCTTCTTCTCAGTGGAGGGTAAATATGTTGAGACGTGTCTGAAGGACCTCGTTTCCCAACCTCTCCCCATGATCTTACATCTCCCTATCTCTGTACCCTCTTCCAGCCTCACAACCCTCGAAGATCTTGGCACTTTTCCAATTCTGGCCTCTTGCACACTCTCGAGTTTAATCAGTTCACCACTGGTCACCATGGCCACCAGCTCCCAATTCAATGTAGATCCCTCAACCTATCTACCCCTTTTCAAGTACACTGCTCTTCAAAGCCTACCCTTATGACCAAGCTTTGGTCCCCTCCCCAGTATCTCCTCACAGAGCCACAGAATTGTAACCTTGCAGAAGGAGGCCATTTAGCCCCTCATGTCTGCACTGACACCTCATGAAGCTCAATGTCAAATTGTTTCTCTCAATGCCTCTCAGTGAAGTACCTTTGGGATGTTTGCTGCGCTCGACATTAGCATAAATGCAAGTTGTTGCTATCATTCAGGGAGAATGCTTTGCCTCTGGCATGTGCATCTCTGAGACCAGGTCATGGCATTGCCAACTCGGAGCCATCTCTTTGAAGAGACCTTTACACTTGCCAGTCTTGTAGCACCTGTTCTAATTCCAGCTTTGCTGAGCTGCCTTTTGAAGCTTCGCATGCCTGTTTTTCCGCTGCCATAGCAACAAATAATTTATTAATAAAAATATCCCAGTGGACCTCATTTGACTAAATAGTTGTGTCTTTGTTGATGCAATAATGTTGTCAGGCAATGATCTGAAACATTCCCTCTCCCTTAACTCTGAAATATGCCTTCAGTTGATTAGAATTGTATAACTAGCATTGTCTCAAACTGAAACATTAAGCATGATGGCAATAACAACTGTCTGCCTGGCAGGGCGTAACCCAACTGTTCACCAGGCTGATACATATCAATGGGCAAGGTTGGGCATTAACTGAGAGGATCTAGCAGTCAGAATGATTAGGACACACTTCCCGGATTTAATAGGCAAGTGTACAAAGCCCAGGCTGTGTACTTGATGCACTCACTGGGGTACCGCAAAGATTGACAGCAACAAAAGCTGGCATTTATATCGTTCCTTTCACACCATCCCAAGCTGCTTCGCAGGAGTGCCATTATAACGCAACAAATGACATCCAGTCACATGGCCGTAAGCTGGTTTAATAATCAGCAATAGTTTCAGAGATAGTGGGAACTGCAGATGCTGGAGAATCTGAGATAACACGGTGTAGAGTTGGAGGAACACAGCAGGCCAAGCAGCATCAGAGGAGCAGGAAAGCTGACATTTCGGGCCTAGACCCTTCTTCAGAAATGAATAAAAATCAGCAAGACTTTCGAATGCGACATGCAGGTCCAACTCATTTTGTGTGACTCGAAATGGACCTCCAGACAGTACATCGATCTTCAAAAAGAAGAAACGTACAGACAGAGAAATGCAAAGTGGTAGAAAGGTTTAAGGCAAGAATTCCAGCTTATACGGCCCAGGCAGCTGAAGGCATGGACACCGATGGTGAGAAGGTAGAAAATCACAGAAACAGACAGTAGGAGCAGGAGTAGGCCTTCGAGCCTGAGCTGCCATTCAAGATGATCATGGCTGAACATCCAACTCAGTCCCCTGTTCCTGCTTTCCTCCCATAACCTTTGACCCCTTTAGCCCTAAGAACTTGAAATAACTGCACAGAGGCTGGTACCTTGTCACCCTTTATTTACCTGTGCAGGGTACACTGGCTATGAGAAGCCAGCTCAGAGTCAGTCCCTGAAATCAGGAAATTCACAGAATCTCCTGTTTATATTGGTCAGCCAGGGTTTCCTGATTGACCCAGGTCAACATCCCCAATCAAGGATCTCATACTCAATAAGATCCACCTGGTTCCATTCACTGCAGAACTATATCTAACTCCTTGAAAATATTCCATGTTTCGGCCTCCACCTTTTCCTGTGGCAGAGAATTCCCTGGGCTTACCATTCTCTGCATGAAGACATTTTGCCTCAGCTCAGTCCTAAGTGGCCTCCCCTGTATCCTGAGACTGTGAGGACGGGAAAATATAACAATCTTTTCACTTGGCCTTTTCTCTGGATACTCTCCTAGACTTTCCTAAAGCCATAAACTATGTGAGCCACCATTGCCCCCAGTGCCTGGCACATGTTGGCATCCAATCCAGTAATTAATCTTCATGGCGTCTGATGGAGGGTGGTGGGAAGGGGCATTACGAAACATTCCCAGTCGGACTTCAATGGTCTCCATGCACACAGGCAATCTGATGCTCGAGTCAAATGAATGAGGGATGGCTGGATGGTCTTCTTCAGATCTTCGTGACCAATGGCTTTCGGCCTGTGTACATAATGTCAGGTTCGCAGCCTCTCTCCAGAAGCTTTGCCACCTAATGCTCCCATGGTGGGGTACTCCTTCAGGTGAGATGTTATAACTAAGGCCATTCCTGCCCTCTCCAATGGATTCTATTTCAAAGACGATGAGGGAGGTTCTGCCTCATTGTCCTGGGGTCCATTGTCCCTATATTTAATTCCTCAACCAACACCACAGTCCATGTGGCCATTTATGCCATTGCAGTGTGTGCCACAGGGGGTGCATTTCCTAGCCTCTGATGTTTCAATCGGAAAAATTGTACTGCATTCCTGTACAGCCTTCCATGAGCCCTTGCACATGAGAAAACACCCCCTCTATGTTGTAACCATTCTTTGACTCCACACATGGCAACATTGATAGAATAGGGCTCTAAAAAAGAATTGGAGTAACAATAGGGATGCAGATGCATAGAGCACTTAAAAAAAAGAAACTTTCACAAAAGACCTGAGAGATTTGCATTTGTATAGCACCTTTCATGACATTCCAAGGCTCCTTTCAGCCAATCAGGATTTTTTCCTGATAAAAAATCCTACGGAGAACAACGGCAGCCACGGAACTCCAACAATCAGCAATCTGGTAACCATCAGATAATCTGTTTTTTTTTTAAAAAAATACACGTAAAAATGTTGACTGAGGGATAAATATAAACAGTGCAGTAGGATTTTTTTATATCCAACTGAGACAGCAGATGGGGCTTTGACTTAAAAGCCTCACCGGAAAGCCTGAACTTCTGTTGGAGCAATATTCCTTCAATGCTACATTGAGAACATCAGCTGGAGTAGGGGGGTTGAGGCCACAACCTTCCGACACATAGCCACGGAATTACACTGGACCCCTGTATCACCCCGTCAGTTGGACTGCAAAACTGCACTTTTCGCTTTAGCATAAATTTTAGTTATTTCAACAACTTCAACATCATAAAGTAACTGAGTGATTGCTTAATCACTGTGGATTTTTTTTTTGTACATTATAAAATCAATACAGGGTATTTTGTCAGCTAAAACTTCCTGCCTAACTAAAATGGATCTGTTCCAAACTCAATGGGATATTCAATTTATATGCAATTAAAGCTTTAAAATCCCGGCACCAGCTGGCAATATACTACAACAGCAGTATATACATGTTCTTGTTACTCAGATGTTCCTTCACTACAGTTCAAAAGACACAGAGGAACAATATGCTCTGCTCCAAACATTGTGGTGCCATTGTCAGAACACAGAGTGGAGCTGGCAACAAAATTCGATTCCATCGAATCAATCAAGGAGGGAGGGGCGGTGACAGAGGAGAGACAAAACACTTGTAGATTCATCCTTCCTTAGGCAGGCCCTCAAGCAGGGGTGCAGTGCCTAATGTCTAGGCAGCGGAGATAGGAAGAACTGTCGATGCTGGAGTCAGAAATAACACAGTGTGGAGCTGGAGGAACACAGCAGGCCAGGCAGCACCAGAGGAGCAGGAAAGTTGACGTTGGGCCCAAGGCCCCAACCCAAAACATCAACTTTCCTGTTCCTCTGGTGCTGCCTCGCCTGTTCCACACTGTGTTATGTCTAGATAATGGAGCTGTTTGAACTCTGGACTATCACACAGATAAGCTTCCTCGCCTACTTTCCTGTGTGCTCCCCAGCTCGCAGGATCAAGGTAGCTTCCAGTTGTCACCGGACCCCGAAACGTTAACTCTGAATTTTTTCTTCACTGATGCTGCCGGACCTGCTGAGCTTTTCCAGCAACTTCTGTTTTTGTTAATTTCCAGTTCGACTGGCTCTGAGAAGGCATTTTTATTTATTCACTCATGTGACGTGGACGTCACTGACTGAGCCAGCATTTAAAGATCAATCTGATTGAGGTGTACAAGATGATGAGGGACAGGGTGGATAAGGAGCAGCTGTTCTCCTCAGTTAAAGGGTCAGTCACAAGGGGACATGGGTTTGAGGTGAGGGCAGGAGGTTGGGGGGATATCTTTCTTCACCCAGAGCATGGTGACAGTCAGGAATGCACTGCCTGGGAGAGCTGGCTCACATCCTTTAATAAGAACCTAGATGAGCATTGGCATATCATAACATTCAAGGCTGTGGGCCAAGTGCTGGTAAATGGGATTAGGTTGAAGGTGCAGACTCGAAGGGCCGATGGGCCTCTTCTGCACTGTATGATTTATTGCCTGTCCCTAGTTGCCCCTCGAGAAGGTGGTGGTGAGTTGTCCTCTCAAACCACTGCGGTCCATGATAACGAGTTCAATGCATGTTCAGCAAACTCTTTCATATCCCAGGCAGGTGTTGCTGAAAGGGATGAATAGGTGGGTTATTTTAAGATTTGTGCAGTCCCTCTGATGCTTCAGTTTCATGTCTGCACATTCCTGAGGATGTACTCACTGCCTCCTCATGTGAAACAACGTACACGGGGCTGGTAGTGACAGGTCCACCCTCAAAATCACAAATCATCCAGGAAAATGCACTCACAGGTACAACTGAGAAAGCTGTCTCCTTAAATAGAATGGAACAAAATGGTGAGGACCCACTCCTCCAATCCCATTGCTGGTTCTCTGTAGTGCTTGCTGATATAGGCTTACTGCAAACCTATCAGCAGCAGACAAGGGAGGGATCCAGCCTGTGATTGGAGAAGTCAGGCACATGGCAGCAATCTGTGAAGCTAAGGCCTGTTGGGTGATGCTGGAGCCTTGGGGAGTCAAACCACAGGCTTAGGCTTAGGGATAGTAGGAACTGTTGATGCTGGAGAATCTGAGATAACAAAGTGTAGAGCTGGATGAACACAGCAGGCCAAGCAGCATCAGAGCAGCAGGAAAGCTGAGGGGATGTCCTTGTTTCATTCCCTCCCCACTTGTCACCTGTTCCATCATTATGTTTTAACATCTAACCCCATTCCTTCCTTTCCTCACTCCTATTCATTTATAAAGAAAAGCCAGAGTGATGCTGGATACCTTGTTTACAAGCATTAGTTTTGCAGGGCAATTAGTGAAAGAGCAGTCATTTGTCAAGCACCTTAGAGCGGCACAGTTACCCAAGGGTTTTCGGAAGAAGGGTCTAGGCCCGAAACGTCAGCTTTCCTGCTCCTCTGATGCTGCTTGGCCTGCTGTGTTCATCCAGCTCTACACCTTGGTACCTAGTCTTAGGGCTGGATGTGAAGCAGAGGAGGCAGCAAAGTAGACAGCAATGAATTATGTAATAATTTAATATTGAACAGCTTTATTAAATAAAGATTTGCACTCATATTATTATACCTTAAATTGTCTTACATACCATTAATTACATGTAATGCAATAAGTCTGTTAGAGACAAAAATGCAATGGTTTAGTTGTAACCTTACCAGTGATGGCTTTTGGGTGATGGCTTTTTATGTGTAGAAGTGTGTCAATTTTTTTAAAAAGAAGTTTTTGCTGACTTAGGCCTGTTGCCCTGTGCTGATTTAAATACCTGTGTCTAAGAAATTAATTCTCTCCCTGTGTGTCGTGGCTTTAAGATTAATGAAACGGTGATGATTATTGGGGACATTGATGAATTCTTCTAATTCTGCTCCTGTGCGAGTCCAAATCACAAATATCAATACAAACACACAAGATAATGTTACTAACTAACTACACTATTTAGAGAAGGAGCTAGTGAGACCAAGAAAGGAGATTCTGAAATTCCAAAAGGAGCCTCCAGAAATCACAAGAGGAGCTCTATAAAAATATCACCATGAAGTTGATCCTGTGGTTGATTTTCACCAGTCAAGTTATATTACATTCAGGGCAGCAATATTGATGTCAAGCTGCCTAACCAGCTCAGTGGTTAGCACTGCTGCCTCACAATGCCAGGGACCCAAGTTTGATTCCACCCTAGGCTGACTGTCTGTGTGGAGTTTGCATGTTCTCCCCATTGCTGCATGGGTTTCTGCCAGAAGTTTCGGTTTCGTCCGACAGCCAAAGATGTACAGGTTAGGTGGATTGGCCATGGGAAGTGCAAGGTTACAGGGATAGAGCAAGGGGTTGGGTCTGGGTGTGATGCTGTTCGGAGGGTCAATGTGGACTCAATGGGCTGAATGGCCTGCTTCCACACTGTAGGGATTCTATGGTCCAAAATTCCTGAGTTATGTTGGTTGTGTGCCTCTCAGCCTTGTCACTGTTGGGTTTGTGATTGTCCATGAGGGTCCTAAAC